CCTTTACCATTTTACTAAGATTTGACCTACTGGAAATTTTCTTTCATCAAGAATTTTATAAATATGACTCTCAGGAATGTGGACTTTCAAAAATGGGGATATTAACCAAAGTAAGTCTAATTTTTGAAATTTCTTTAGCATCATCAATTGATTTAAAAATGATTTAAAAGAAACTAAAAGACTTTGGAATTTTAAAGCTGTAAAAACTTATAAAACAAAAACACCTCATTGTCAAATCTGGAGCTGACTAGCTGAGCATAGGTGGCTTATGTAACCAATGTGAGAGCAATATTTTAAGCATCCCTTTAATTTGGTCCTACCAAACCCATTTCCAATCCTCAATCCAAACCTGAAAAATGCTATCAGATGTTCAAGAATTTTTATTCTAATTCTCTTAGTGCTTCAAATCCTCATGAGCCAAACACACATCAAGCACCAACCAGGGAACCAATCTAACCCATGTCCTGGGGGACCCATGCTAATGAGACACATCAGCATTTTTTTTTAAAAGTATTTCTTGGACCTAAAATTCAAGTTATTATTTAAATCATATCCCTACTATAATTAACTAGCAAAGCTGAAACTAAATCAGGCAGATGGGCCAGGCCTCAAGCCAGATGCTAAATGTCAGAATCATAAACCACCATGCGGATGTCCCACTCTAGCTTGGTCCAGGCCAGGAAGCCACGGGCTAAGGGCTACCCCCGAATAATGAGGGTCTTTGAGGAAAGCAGTGACTGCATTCCTCTGGGGATTTAGGAGAACCCTCTAGAATTCCCACTCTCCCATAAATAGTGTCATCACAAAGCCTGGGGGAAGGGGGAGGTTAGCAGTGTTGGAGGACATTATGAGCTTTCAGAGGGAAAACAGGGAATTGCCTCTAAATAAGCTTACAGTCTTGGGGGGGAGGGGGATCACCATATTCTCTGTTAGACACCTTTGTAAATGGTATTTGTATGATACAAATTATGCAAGAATCAATGGCATTTTAAATAAATGGAGCTGGAGACCTTTGTACTCAAGATATCTCAAGTGAGTGACCAGGTTGAAGATAAATTTATTATTAGTTCTTTGCAGCATTCTTAACAGCAAGCAAGTAAGTGAACAGGATGGGTCTCCTTAGAGTCAAGGCCATCCCAGCAGGTTCTCTATCTTTGAGAAAGCCCTGCCCTCTCTGCTCCACCCCTCCAAGTTTCAGAAATGCTCCAACTCCCTAGTTTGAAAATTGCTGCCATGGACATAGATATAAATACTGTGACTGCCCAAGAACCCCTTCACACATGGTTATGGAAGAGCACTGTTCCTTCTCTGGAGGAGCCCTGTTCAGGAAGGTGTTGAGATTATTTGGAGAAAGCCTTCTAGAGAAAGGATGTTGCACCAAAATTGGAAAGGCTGAAGGGCTATGATTTGATGGAGGAAGTGTGAAGCTATTCTTGGAGTCTGGAACTTCCTGTAAAAAGGCTCAAACATACAAAAGAAAAATGAACAGGCAGACAATTGTTGGGGTGGGGGCAAGTGCTGTCTAGGGATATTTAATGAAAAAAACAGGAGTGAGACTTAGGAGGTAAGATGGAGTTAATTAGTAATGGAAAGTGCTGGCCCTTAGCATTCCCACTCAAGATAACGCCTGGGGGCAACAAAGCTTGCTATTCCAAACTGAGACCTGCTCCATTCAAAATCCAACTTACACTCAACTCTTTTAAGACCTTACCATCCTGATTTAGGTCCTATAGGATCTGCCACAATATCGTAACAATCAGTGTGAACAACAAACACAAATCAACGCTTTGAAATACAAGATTTTCCATTCATCCACCAGAAGAAAAAATCCTATTAATGTCAAATACTGGCACAACAACAAAAACTATTTAACTTAAAAGAAACCACTTGTCACAATTAAGTTGACACGGTCTAGACCATAACCAACATAAAGTCTTTGCAGTGAAGGGCAAACATTAAGCAATGCCAAACTTCTACCCTAATTTTAGCATCACTATCAATTATTTTTATTTAAAACATTATTAGTTTCTAATTGAAACAATAAATCAAATAACATTGGCCTTAAAAGTACAGGAAAAAGGGGGGGCTGCCTTCAAACTCCAGGAGCCCTTCATAGAGGGGGGCATCGACCTAGCATACAATGGGATCAATGCCCAGGACTTGTGCAATTTGAAGGCGTAGTCTGTCCAGAGAAATTACTAGGCAATAGGCTTTTTTTTTTTTTTGTACTGGGGATTGAACCAAGGGGTGCTTAACCACTCAGCCACATCCCCAATCCTTTATAATATTTTATTTAGAAGACAGGGTCTCAGGCCCAATTCTTTCTTTCTGTGGGTCAGGATTTTTTACCCCTTTTAGAACAAATTTTCAGTCAAGACAAAAATGCATTGATTATTTTTTGCATTTCTTCAAGTTCCCTATTTTTAAAAGGCCAGTAAGGAATATTGCTTACAAGTTTCAGGTTATTAAAACCATGAAATGAATACAAAAGCAGCTTTTCAAAAGTTGTATTGATCTGGTTTTTTCAATACAAAGCAGAACACCACCCCCCACTCCAAATCCTTCCTATGTGTTTAGAATGAATTGATCAGCTTCAGCCCCCATTCCATCCTCCTATGGGTTTTAGGAGCCCAGGGCTGGCTATTTACAACATAGCATTTAAAATAACAAGGCATCATATTGTAAAAGCATTCCCCTCCCACCAAAGGAAAATCCCTCCCAACAACTAGATGATTTGCTAAGGAAAAAAATATGTACAGTTCCAATTTACATTTATCAAACTATTTCAAACTAGATCGAGAAGCTAGAAAAATCACTTCCAGTTCTACAAATGATTCTAGTAATTTGTCTTAATATTTTTTGCATGATGGCCTCTGTTCAGATACCATTTTAAATTGCTTGATATTTTGAAATTTATTAAGCTCAAAGGAATGCTGGTAGATTCATTCGGCAGTGTTTTCTACACTTACTTAATGAGACAAAATTTTTGAGAGGCTGAATAACAGAATGCCTTGTTTATTACAGTTAAACAGACTTTCTGAACAGTCTCTGCATTCTTATGTTGGAATATTTTTGTTACTACCTTATTACAACAGTTGCTAAAGAAAAAAACAAAAAGCAGCTGTCTCTTGATTTAGCACTCAAAAATTGTGGGCATCATTCAAATTTAAGCTGGTATTAAACTAAAATATGGAACAAGATCTTTTCATACAAATTTCCTAATAATAAACAGCCACTCGTTGCTTTTTCCATGATTACCAAAAGGCCCCTAATCTGCTAGGGTAAAATTTTAAGCAGAACACCTGTGTAGGATCACACACATTTTTTTGCCGTCTTCCACCTAAATTTCAGTAAATTTAAGTTTTTTTTTTTTAAATAAATACGGGCAAACTTTCCTTTAAAAATGTACATATTTGCTGAATTGTTTGTGAAGAGAGCTGTTGGGCTATGAATTTGAATTTTTTACCTGCCAATGTAATACTCTCAAGCTAATAGTAAGGCTAGAATTTTAAAGCCTACATTATTATCTTAAGGACACTAAAGTCCATGATAGAGAAAGATGAAAATGTGAAAACTTCTCACCAATAAAAAATCTAGAAATCACAGTGATGCTTGTACTTTCATCCGAGGACCTCAGAACACGCTGCCCGCAGCCCAGGTCACCCAGGACCCTGGCCTTTTTGGAGTGCTACTACCATCCCTGGCAGTGGAGCCTTGGGCTCCACAAACGAAAGATTTGCTCTAGGCAGGCGGACTTCATCTCCAAGAAGATCCTCCTGGGTGCCTGAGTTAGGTAGGCTGCAGGAAAAGCGACCGGCAAGAGGCGGATTCTGTCAAGACCCGCATGTCCGGAGGCCGGCAAAAGAAACTATCTGCAGGTGAGGTTGCATCAGAAGTGAAAGACAAGTCCCAGAAAAGTCAGCTGAACTAGGACGCAGGAAAGGAGTGTTATGCAACGGCCCCGCTCTCACAGCCACGAAAGCAAGCGCTCCTGAAGCTCTGGCAGAGTCCCGCCAAGACCCGGGAAACTCGCTAGGGTCGCGCGAGCGGACGCCGGGCAGGGCCTGGCTCCCCTCCGGCTCGCCCCGTGGTCTGTGCGGGTCCGGGGAGCGGAAGCACACCTTGTCCGGGTAACAGCGGCGCAGCCTCGGCGGGACGTATGGGCCCGCGAGGTGGACGGCGCGGCCAGTAGGGCACCCGATGGAGGCACAGAGAAGCTGAAGAGGGCAGGAGCGGGCGCAGCTTGCAGGGATCCCGACGACAGCGTGCCCGTGGGCGAGTGGGGAGTGGACTGGGCGGGGAGAGAGCACCCAGGGGAGAAGGCGCGCGCCCGCGGTGGACGGGTGCGGAACTGGTTGGCCCCCGATACGGCGGCACGGCCAGAGGGGACCGCCTCAGCTCTGTGGGACCGAGGCGCAGCAAGACGCGCGGTCTTGGTGCTGCCATGGGCGCCGGACCGGGCATTTGGGTAAAAGCCGAGCCGCCATCCCACCGGACGGTGGAGGTGGAGACGTGCCCTGCGCTGCCTGCCTCTCGGGTAGTCCAAAGCGTCACAGACGCCGCCCCCGGCCCGCGGCCGCCCCTGCCCAGCCAGGAGCCTGGAGCCCAGCCGCTGCACAACAAAGCGGTGCAACCCCGCCGGCCCCCGCCCGACGCGCTCTCCGCAGGCCCGGCGTTCTGTCCCAACTTCTCCGGCTCCTAGGAACTAGCCCGGCAGGATCCCCACTGCCCGCGACAACCCGCGGCAGGGCGGAGGCGGCCCCTGGGCCGGGCCGAGCCGGGGCCGTGGGGGCAGGGCGCAGCTCCCGTCTGGACAAACTTCCTTGGCCGCCCGCTCCCTGCTCCTGCACCCAGCCGCCCCGCCGAGCAGGGACGTCCTTCCCTGAGCCGTGGTCTGCAGCGGCACGAGGGTGGGCGCCTAGAGCCTGCCGGTCCCCGGAAAGTTTCGTCCGCCCGGCCGCCGCCCGCTGCCCCACGCCTCCCGGTCCCGGCCCCCTCACCTCTTGGGGCGCGGTCTACACCCTCGGGGGCGTCCTGGCCCGCGGCTCCTGGGCCTCGAGCGCCGGGAGACCAGGCGCCGGTGGCTGGAGCTGCTGTTGGCTCCGCAGGGACGGGGGAGCCCCAGGCGGCGGCGGTGGCGCGGGCGGCGGCTGCTCCATCTTCCCGGGGCACTCACGCCGCGGTTCCAACGCGCAGACCCAAGTGGGACATTCGCTACATTGTTGGCATTCCACGGGCGTCACGTGACCCCGCCTCCCGCGTCACTCTCGGCCGCATACCAGCCCGGGCGGGGCGCCTGCGGCCCTTGCTCCTCAGCAGCCGGCCGCTCCGCCCCGTCCAGCCCGGCCCAGCAGCCGCTGCGGGCCTCAGCCACCGACGCCACCTGCCCGCGGCCTCTCAGCTGGCCTGCGGGAGCCGGGCGGGCCCCGCGGACCCTGATGCGCTCTTGTCATTCTCCTTCCACTGTACTTGTATTGACCCCTCCACTACTTGTATTCAAAGTTGGTAACTGTCGTTAAAGCCACGTTTTCCTAAACATCTCATACCATTCTTGGTGAAAAAGTAAGTTAGCGGGCCCGAGGAAGCTGCAAGTTGCCAACGAGGTGCCAGTCACTGAAAGTAGGGACAGCTATTGGGAACATGACTCAAGTAATAAAAAAAGCTATCTAACATATATAAAAGTTAACCAGGTATGATTTAATCAACTATCTCCCCCATATACATTTTATGAAACATGTTTTGCTTGTAAAGAACAAAACAGTAATGTATGTATCAACAAGTGAGACGGTGGTTTTTGTATTTCAGCCACTCCATTATATTTGTATTTGAGGATTTGGCTCAAGGACATAAGCAGGCATTGTGCAAAGATGCAGAGTAGAAATAATAGAAGGGATGCCAAATTTTTAAATCTACTTTTAGCTCTCCTTTTAACATCATACTTCCTACCACCTATAGCCTGTGACATTGACAGTGAGGACTAATGCAGTTTTTCCTCAATCTAATTTCCTCTTTAATTAATTAACTTGTGACATTTTAAGTTTTAATTTCAGAAGAAACAATACTGAAGATCATTTAGTCTCAGCTTTTTTTTTTTTTTTTTTTTTTTTTTTTTTGCTTTTTGATGCTGGGATTGAATCCAGGGCTGCACATGTGTAATCATAGACTTTTTAAGCACTGAGCTGCACCCCTTGCCATCTCAGGACTATTTTAATCACCTCACCAGCCTTCAGTCCCTGTTCCACTTGCTTCCCCTCCTTCATCCTTTAAATTCTTAGCTCTTCCAAGGAACCTTCTCAGATGTCTCTCCTGATTTCTGTTTTTTGTTTTTTGGTGTTTTTTTTTGTTGTTGTTGTTGTTGTTTTGTGTGTGTGTGTGTTGTTTTGTTTTGTTGTGTTTTGTTTTTTGCAATAATTAAACATTGTTAAGCAGCTTTGAATGCAGTTTCGTTTTTCAATCTTATCCTGTTTGTTATCCAGATATTTTGGACAGTATTGGGAGCAGAATAAGTCTCCAATATTCTATAAAATCTGGGCCCCACTTGCATTAACCTGTGTATCTTTTCACTCTTACACTCACCTTACATGCCTGACTGCCAGAAGATTTACATGTGTGTTTTTAGGTCCTTCCCTGTGCTGTCTTCAAAGGCATAAACTTACTTGCAGCGTGGGGGGGGGGGGGGGGGGGGACTTTAGTCAAAGGAAGAATATTATGAAATAAAAGGGACTAACTATATTTGCCAGAGGATAAATGATTGTAGACAGAAATTAAAACCAATGTGAGTCTTTTTTTTTTTTTTTTAAGGAAAAGAAAGTTGCTGGGCAATGCTTGTAATCCCAGTGGTTTGGGAGGCTGAGGCAGGAGGATAGTGAGTTCAAAACCAGCCTCAGCAACTTAGGCCCTAAGCAATTCAGTGAGACCCTGTCTCTAAATAAAATACAAAATAGGGCTGGAGATGTGGCTCAGTGGTCGAGTGCCCCTGAGTTCAATCCCCGGTCCCTCCCCCAAAAAAGCAAGTTGTAGAACTATATATATATATATTATACCATATTTATAAATAAGCAAAATCCACAGAACCTGTACCAATCACATACTTTGTATATAAGTATAGACACAGACTACTAAGTACACACCAAACATGACAGCTGTTGCCTGTATAGAAGGAAGGAGGAAATTGGACAAGAGAAAAAAATTAGGACTTCTACTATATCTACAATGCTTGTTTTTTTTTTTTTTTGAAAAACAGAATCAAACTGTCAAAATTTTAAAAGTTGTTGATTCTGGGTGATAGAGTTCCATAATGTATGCTACTTATTCTTTGTGCCTATTTCAAAAACATTTAAAAATGTTTTCATCTTTAAGAATAGAGGGGCTGGGGTTGTAGCTCAGTGGTAGAGTGCTTGCCTTGAGGCAGTGGGTTCGATTCTCAGCACCACATATAAACAAATAAAATAAAGATTCATTGATAACTAAAAAACTTTTTTAAAAATTCATAGAAGAGATAAATTTTTTAAAAAGAGTAAATAGGGCAAATTGAAAACAAACAAGTTTCCAAGATTGGGCTTGGTTGGAGAAAACTATGACATACTCATATGGGAGAATGTTATGATTAGTGATTTTGTGGATACATATTTATTGACAAAAGTCATTCATTCCTACTGTCTTTTTAGTTGTTATTGCTTGTCTTTTAAGTATTTACTATGAGCCATGTACTAAACCAGGCCCTAGGGTTATCATGGTATGCAGATTGTTAGATTTATCCCTAATGGAGTTTGCATTCTGATAGAATTTGTATAGTTCTCATTTCATAATTTGTTTACTCATAGTTTTTAAAGTTCAAAACATAGTATACAGCCCAATATTAAAAGTGGTAGTCTATGGATATGGTGATTCTAGGTAATTTTTATCTTATACTTTCTGATATATATCTATAGTAGGATAGTTAATGACAAAAATTTTAACAAATTAAATCATCAGGCACATAATGTATGCAGCTAAGATAACAAAATGCCAATTGAGCACAAAGCTTACTATAGTAGTAAAACCACAGTGTAAAAATTGATTAACATATATACCTGTATATATATATGTTAATCATATGTATATACTGCATGTATGCTTCTCTATACCTGGTATTGCTCTAAGGTTGTGCATTCTCTCATTTAATCCACAAAATGACCATATTATCAATCCCTTTTTATGTAATAGCACCCCAAAGCATAGAGAACCCAAGTAAATTACCCAAGATCAAAGTACTGGGATTTGAATCTTGATAGATCTAACTGCAGAGCTTAGAACCACTGAATTATTAGGCTTTCTCCAGGTAAACTCAAGATGTTATGATTAAAGTGTGTAAAAGTTTAAAATATTACCCATTTCTGGGGCTGGGGTTGTGTCTCAGTGGTAGAGCACTTGCCTAGCATGTGTGAAGCACTGGGTTTTGATTCTCAGCACCACATATAAATAAATAAAATAAAGTTCCATTGAAAACTAAAAAAATTTTTTTTAAAATATGTTACCCATTTCTGTGGGTCAGCCAGGGTGATCTCCTAATCTATTGTTATTTGAAGATTTTGGTTTTTCAAACTTCCAGAACTTCAGCTGAGAGTTACTAGTCAAGAACTCTGTTTCAATGATAAACTTGAACCCTTTTATTAAACTTTTTTATTATGATAAAATATGTGTATTGCAAAATTTACCATTTAACCATTTTAAACACACAGTTCAGTAGTATTAAGTACATTCACAATGTTGTATGACCATCACCCTATCCATTTCAAGAAAAATTTTCCACTAATTAAGTAATAACTCTTCATATCCTGCCATTATTGTCTGTTTTTTGAAAGAATGTACACACACTTGCTCCCAGAGAGAACTCCTAATGCCTTTGGAGACTTGAAAAAATATTTTGTTTAATCTTTAGTCTTAGTCCGAGTGCAGTAGCACATGCCTATAATCTCAGTGACTCAGAAGGATCCCAAATTGGAGACCAGCCTCAACAACTTAGTGAGATTCTGTCTTTTTTTTTTTTTAATATTTATTTTTTTTTTAGTTTTCGGCGGACACAACGTCTTTGTTTGTATGTGGTGCTGAGGATGGAACCCGGGCCGCACGCATGCCAGGCGAGCGTGCTACCGCTTGATCCCAAGCCCGAGATTCTGTCTTAATTTTTTTTTTTTTAATAAAAAGGCTGAGGGTATAGCTCAGTGGTAGAGCATCCTGAGTTCAATCCCAAGTATCACACGCATGCACACGCACACACATACATAAACAATACTTGTTTTTTGTCTCTAGTTCCTGACTCAGAGCTCCTAAATCCCTTTGAATTTCCTAGGTAATAGAAGTATCTTTTTTTCTAATGAGGTAATTTGGTGGGTTCCTGGATGGGGGCTGGTCAGAGAAAGATTAATCCATGATTAGAGGCTGGAAATTTCAGCCCTCCTGCCTCCAAACATCCACTGAGAGGAATAGAGGGGCTGGAAACTGAGATAATAATCAATCATGCCAACATGATGAAGGCTCCATAAAAATTCCTGAGCTACAGAATTTGGGGAGCTTGTGGACTAAAACACATCTACGTGCTGGGAAAGTAATGCATTCAGGTCCACACCTAGCTTTTCATCTGGGTCCTTTATAATGTCCTTTATTGATGCAATAAATTGATAAATATAGTGTTTCCCTTAGTTCTCTAAGGTGACTTAGCAAATTCATCAAACCTGAGGAGGGGTAGTGAGAACCCCAATTTGTGGTCAGGTGGTCAGGAGTATAAGTGACAACTAACTTCTTGAGGTTGGCATGCAAAGTGGGGGCACTTTTGTAGGACTGAGCATTCAAGGTGCGGGATCTGTTCTAACTTGAGTTAGGTAGTGTCAGAACTGAACTGAATTTTTATAGGATTCCCAGTTCATGTCTGCTAGAGAATTGCTTGGTGTATGGGGAAAAATCCTCCATATATCTTAACAACCAAAAGTGTGTTGAGGGGCTAGGGTTGTGGCTCAGTGAAAAAGCACTTGCCTAGCACATGTGAGACATTGGGTTTGATCTTCAGCACCACATAAAAAATAAATAAAAGGTACTATTGTCCATCTGCAACTATATATATATATATATATATATATATTAGGCTTTCTCCAGGTAAAC